ATGTTTTAGCGTCTTTATCCATGCATGTTTTAGAGCCTTTATCCATGCATGTTTTAGAGCCTTTATCCATGCATGTTTTAGAGCCTTTACCCATGCATGTTTTAGAGCCTTAACCCATGCATGTTTTAGCGCCTTTATCCATGCATGTTTTAGCGCCTTTATCCATGCATGTTTTAGCGTCTTTATCCATGCATGTTTTAGAGCCTTTACCGATGCATGTTTTAGAGCCTTTATCCATGCATGTTTTAGCGCCTTTACCCATGCATGTTTTAGAGCCTTAACCCATGCATGTTTTAGCGCCTTTATCCATGCATGTTTTAGCGTCTTTATCCATGCATGTTTTAGAGCCTTTATCCATGCATGTTTTAGAGCCTTTATCCATGCATGTTTTAGCGCCTTTATCCATGCATGTTTTAGAGCCTTTATCCATGCATGTTTTAGCGCCTTTATCCATGCATGTTTTAGCGCCTTTACCCATGCATGTTTTAGAGCCTTAATCCATCCATGTTTTAGCGCCTTTATCCATGCATGTTTTAGCGCCTTTATCCATGCATGTTTTAGCGCCTTTACCCATGCATGTTTTAGCGACTTTATCCATGCATGTTTTAGCGCCTATATCCATGCATGTTTTAGCGCCTTTATCCATGCATGTTTTAGAGCCTTTACCCATAAATGTTTTAGAGCCTTAATCCATGCATGTTTTAGCGCCTTCATCCATGCATGTTTTAGCGCCTTTATCCATGCATGTTTTAGAGCCTTTATCCATGCATGTTTTAGAGCCTTTATCCATGCATGTTTTAGCGTCTTTACCCATGCATGTTTTAGAGCCTTAACCCATGCATGTTTTAGTGCATTTACCCATGCATGTTTTAGCGACTTTATCCATGCATGTTTAAGCGCCTTTACCCATGCATGTTTTAGCGCCTTTACCCATCCATGTTTAGCGCCTTAACCCATGCATGTTTTAGCGACTTTATCCATGCATGTTTTAGCGCCTTTACCCATGCATGTTTTAGCGACTTTACCCATGCATGTTTTAACGCCTTTATCCATGCATGTTTTAGCGTCTTTATCCATGCATGTTTTAGAGCCTTTATCCATGCATGTTTTAGAGCCTTTATCCATAAATGTTTTAGCGCCTTTACCCATGCATGTTTTAGAGCCTTAACCCATGCATGTTTTAGCGCCTTTATCCATGCATGTTTTAGCGTCTTTATCCATGCATGTTTTAGAGCCTTTATCCATGCATGTTTTAGAGCCTTTATCCATGCATGTTTTAGAGCCTTTACCCATGCATGTTTTAGAGCCTTAACCCATGCATGTTTTAGCGCCTTTATCCATGCATGTTTTAGCGCCTTTATCCATGCATGTTTTAGCGTCTTTATCCATGCATGTTTTAGAGCCTTTACCGATGCATGTTTTAGAGCCTTTATCCATGCATGTTTTAGCGCCTTTACCCATGCATGTTTTAGAGCCTTAACCCATGCATGTTTTAGCGCCTTTATCCATGCATGTTTTAGCGTCTTTATCCATGCATGTTTTAGAGCCTTTATCCATGCATGTTTTAGAGCCTTTATCCATGCATGTTTTAGCGCCTTTATCCATGCATGTTTTAGAGCCTTTATCCATGCATGTTTTAGCGCCTTTATCCATGCATGTTTTAGCGCCTTTACCCATGCATGTTTTAGAGCCTTAATCCATCCATGTTTTAGCGCCTTTATCCATGCATGTTTTAGCGCCTTTATCCATGCATGTTTTAGCGCCTTTACCCATGCATGTTTTAGCGACTTTATCCATGCATGTTTTAGCGCCTATATCCATGCATGTTTTAGCGCCTTTATCCATGCATGTTTTAGAGCCTTTACCCATAAATGTTTTAACGCCTTTATCCATGCATGTTTTAGAGCCTTTATCCATGCATGTATTAGAGCCTTTATCCATGCATGTTTTAGCGCCTTTACCCATGCATGTTTTAGAGCCTTAACCCATGCATGTTTTAGTGCATTTACCCATGCATGTTTTAGCGACTTTATCCATGCATATTTAAGCGCCTTTACCCATGCATGTTTTAGCGCCTTTACCCATGCATGTTTAGCGCCTTAACCCATGCATGTTTTAGCGACTTTATCCATGCATGTTTTAGCGCCTTTACCCATGCATGTTTTAGCGACTTTACCCATGCATGTTTTAACGCCTTTATCCATGCATGTTTTAGCGTCTTTATCCATGCATGTTTTAGAGCCTTTATCCATGCATGTTTTAGAGCCTTTACCCATGCATGTTTTAGCGCCTTAACCCATGCATGTTTTAGAGCCTTAACCCATGCATGTTTTAGCGCCTTTATCCATGCATGTTTTAGCGTCTTTATCCATGCATGTTTTAAAGCCTTTACCCATGCATGTTTTAGAGCCTTTATCCATGCATGTTTTAGCGCCTTTATCCATGCATGTTTTAGAGCCTTAACCCATGCATGTTTTAGCGCCTTTATCCATGCATGTTTTAGAGCCTTTACCGATGCATGTTTTAGAGCCTTTATCCATGCATGTTTTAGCGCCTTTACCCATGCATGTTTTAGAGCCTTAACCCATGCATGTTTTAGCGCCTTTATCCATGCATGTTTTAGCGTCTTTATCCATGCATGTTTTAGAGCCTTTATCCATGCATGTTTTAGAGCCTTTATCCATGCATGTTTTAGCGTCTTTATCCATGCATGTTTTAGAGCCTTTATCCATGCATGTTTTAGCGCCTTTATCCATGCATGTTTTAGCGTCTTTATCCATGCATGTTTTAGCGCCTTTATCCATGCATGTTTAAGCGACTTTATCCATGCATGTTTTAGCGCCTTTATCCATGCATGTTTTAGAGCCTTTATCCATGCATGTTTTAGCGACTTTATCCATGCATGTTTTAGCGCCTTTACCCATGCATGTTTTAGAGCCTTAACCCATGCATGTTTTAACGCCTTTATCCATGCATGTTTTAGCGACTTTATCCATGCATGTTTTAGCGCCTTTACCCATGCATGTTTTAGAGCCTTTACCCATGCATGTTTTAGCGCCTTTATCCATGCATGTTTTAGCGCCTTTATCCATGCATGTTTTAGAGCCTTAACCCATGCATGTTTTAGAGCCTTTATCCATGCATGTTTTAGCGCCTTTATCCATGCATGTTTTAGAGCCTTAACCCATGCATGTTTTAGCGCCTTTATCCATGCATGTTTTAGCGCCTATATCCATGCATGTTTTAGCGCCTTTATCCATGCATGTTTTAGCGCCTTAACCCATGCATGTTTTAGCGCCTTTATCCATGCATGTTTTAGGGCCTATATCCATGCATGTTTAAGCGCCTTTATCCATGCATGTTTTAGAGCCTTAACCCATGCATGTTTTAGCGCCTTTATCCATGCATGTTTTAGCGACTTTATCCATGCATATTTTAGCTCCTTTATCCATGCATGTTTTAGCGCCTATATCCATGCATGTTTTAGCGCCATTACCCATGCATGTTTTAGAGCCTTAACCCATAAATGTTTTAGAGCCTTAACCCATGCATGTTTTAGCGCCTTTATCCATGCATGTTTTAGCGCCTTTATCCATGCATGTTTTAGAGCCTTTAACCATGCATGTTTTAGCGCCTTAACCCATGCATGTTTAGCGCCTTTATTCATGCATGTTTTAGTGCATTTACCCATGCATGTTTTAGCATCTTAACCCATGCATGTTTGAGCGACTATACCGATGCATGTTTTAGTCCATTTACCCATTATGTTTTAGCGACTTTACCCATACATGTTTTAGCGCCTTTACCCATCCATGTTTTAGCGCCTTAACCCATGCATATTTTAGCGCCTTAACCCATGCATATTTTAGCTCCTTCATCCATGCATGTTTTAGCGACTTTATCAAGCATGTTTTAGCGCCTTTACCCATGCATGTTTTAGAGCCTTAACCCATGGATGTTTTAACGCCTTTATCCATGCATGTTTTAGCGTCTTTATCCATGCATGTTTTAGAGCCTTTATCCATGCATGTTTTAGAGCCTTTATCCATGCATGTTTTAGCGCCTTTATCCATGCATGTTTTAGCGCCTTTATCCATGCATGTTTTAACGCCTTTATCCATGCATGTTTTAGAGCCTTAACCCATGCATGTTTTAGCGCCTATATCCATGCATGTTTTAGCGCCTTTATCCATGCATGTTTTAGCGCCTTTACCCATGCATGTTTTAGAGCCTTTATCCATGCATGTTTTAGCGCCTTTATCCATGCATGTTTTAGCGCCTTTATCCATGCATGTTTTAGCGCCTTTATCCATGCATGTTTTAGAGCCTTTATCCATGCATGTTTTAGAGCCTTTATCCATGCATGTTTTAGCGCCTTTACCCATGCATGTTTTAGAGCCTTAACCCATGCATGTTTTAGTGCATTTACCCATGCATGTTTTAGCGACTTTATCCATGCATGTTTAAGCGCCTTTACCCATGCATGTTTTAGCGCCTTTACCCATGCATGTTTAGCGCCTTAACCCATGCATGTTTTAGCGACTTTATCCATGCATGTTTTAGCGCCTTTACCCATGCATGTTTTAGCGACTTTACCCATGCATGTTTTAGCGCCTTAACCCATGCATGTTTTAGCGACTTTATCCATGCATGTTTTAGCGCCTTTACCCATGCATGTTTTAGCGACTTTACCCATGCATGTTTTAGCGACTTTACCCATACATGTTTTAGCGACTTTACCCATGCATGTTTTAGCGCCTTTACCCATGCATGTTTTAGCGACTTCACCCATGCATGTTTTAGCGACTTTATGCATGCATGTTTTAGCGCCTTTATCCATGCATATTTTAGCGCCTTTATCCATGCATGTTTTAGAGCCTTTACCCATGCATGTTTGCGGCCGGGGATCGAACCCCGGACCTTTCGCTCTCCGTGTGAACGCTCTACCACTAGACCACGGAGGCGGTCGACGTACAAAAAGAAAATATGAAGATGTGCAATCAATGTCAAATTAATTTTATTTCATAACAAGTTGAGCGTAAAAAAGACTTGGTGTTATTTACACAAGTAAATGCAGTACAAAACAGACCGAACCTGGTTACATACTGTCATAAAATACAATGTTAGCTTTTACTGTATGGGAGCAAACACTATAAGAAAATAATTAAGACATATTTCTTATTATTTCTGGAATAACGCACATGTTAGTGTCGACAATATGTAAGCATAGGACACTCAGCGTTCAGAGAAAGTACTTATCTATCATCACTCCTGGACATTTCCTATAAAGATGCCTATGTTCCAAGGATAATTTCATGTGGATAGTGGACCATCAACGTGAAAGCCCTGATGAGATCAATACAGTTCAAGCCCGCTTAACCAGACACAGTGGAGGGGTTGGGTTAGGGGCGGTTATATTTATACGGGGAGACAAAGTCGTGGAACGTCGATTATATTATAAGTCACTAGTTTGTCGGACCCATTTTCCATTATTAACATGTTGACTTGATATAAGTGGAATCTTGCTACGGCGTTTAACAACATCCTCAACATTCTCTATTAATCCGGAGGGTGCGATTATGCAAAATTCGTCTGGATTGATACTCTTCACAATTAACGTGTCATGTGAGTGAGTGAGTGAGTGAGTGCGGTTTTACGCCGCTGTCAGCAGTATTCCAGCAAAATCGGAAATGGGCTTCACACATTATACCCACGTGGGGAAACAATTTGATGGGAGTAAGTAAGTGAGTACGTTTCCACGTCGCTGCTAGCGACATTCCAGCAATATCACGGAGGGGGTCACCAGAAATGGGCTTCACACTGTGTAACCATGTGAGGGAACCAGTCGAAGGAAGTGAGCGAGTACGTTTCTACGTCGCTTTCAGCAGTATTTCAGAAATATCGCCAATCAAAAGCGGCCTTTAGTGTGACGAGCGAACGTTTTAACCACTAAGCTACCCCACCGTCCGCGATGGCTTCCCAACAGTAGTATCCACGCACCATAAACAAATAGGGTTGATAAGAGCCCTACTGGTTCCTTAATCACTTCATGATTCACAAGAATGCGTTGTACAAAGCCGTCATTAAACCATTACTAATGATATGAGAAGTGTAAAATGTTAATAATGTGTCAGTAAATTAAGGTAATCCCCCATAATTCCGCTTTATATAATAAGCTAACAAGTACCTTCTCCTACCATGTACCAAGGGGATTGGGTACTGGTAGAAGCCGTTCTCTCGACTCGAAGTTTGCTTGCTAAATGCACCTCAGTTTGTGATGAGTTTTAGTATTTTTGAGGTTTCAAGGTGAAGCCATAATTATATTTCATCGTACCTCTGCATCGTATCAACATATGAGAGTGTTTGGCTTAAAGACGATAACGATAACGGTACTCCCAAATCTCATTTGGTTACTGTCTCGATAATGTAGGGATGCTCTCATTACAAGTTTGATACATGCGAAGTTAACGGTTCATGGGGGTTTATTTCCTGTTAATGCATCAATACAACTTGATACCACCGGGTTAGGAAGGTGGGATCTCGAACTAACGGGTCCCACTGTATATACAGTAAACTACGGTTATAACGAACACGCTAATAACGATCTGACCGACATAACGAACTTATTTTTTAGTCCCGGCCATTTGTTGTATATATGCTGTATATACATGCTTATAACGAACTACGGTTATAACGAACTAAAATGAGTGGTCCCTTTGAGTTCGTTATAACCGTAGTTTACTGTACTGATCGAAATAACAAGGGAACTAAACTATTGGACATGACGCCCCTCGGGTACCCTGATAATGACCGGCGATTGTTTGACAATGTCGTGTCACACCAAATACTGACATTTCACTATTTGTTTTGCTCATACAAATATAAATGATAATAACAATAATAATTCTCCTTTCATAAACATTTGTCCAATTATTTATGTTGATCAGTATACATACATCATCTGTCACCTACATCGAATAGTCATCAGGATAATATGTTTTTTTGTATATGCGAATTAAAACCCAATAACAATGTTGGATCGTGTTTGTCAGTTTTGATAAAAAAAAATAAACATTGCGCCCAGATGAAAGATAATAGCTTTTCAGGTAGTGCCCGGATGCTAACCCTACATGACAATTTGAACGCTGAAGTGATTTTATGGATGAATGAGTGTTTTAGCGTGTTTACATGGAGCAATATGGCGAGATGGGCGAAGATGGCGGAATGCACCTGCATTTTGGCAGCAGGCGAAGAGAAAACGATACGAAATGGAAGTAAAGACCAAACTCAGCGGGACTGAGGTCAAGCTTACATCGAACCAAACCTTTGGGAATGTCAGGCACCCCCTGTCACAGATGTAACCAGTCAATGAATGTACACTGCTACAGGCGTCCTATCGCAAAAGAGAGTCGGCTGGGTTAAGTCGCTTTGAACAGTACACCAGTTTCAGAGTGTCAATTTGATGTTGGCCTTACAGAACTAATATCTTACCAACCTTCGGATCTGTCGGCACCGTTTGTCGCGGCCTTCAACATTAATTCAGTTATATCATGGCGTGTCAGCTTGATTTTGGAGGAAACCCTGAAGTGATTACCCATTTGGTGAAACCCACAAGCACAGGCTCGGTGCTGACAAACCTAGAAACATCACGAGGGTGCATCTGGTAACAGAAACACATGGGTACCCAGCTTAGAGGACAACACAGCACAGCGAACTACCTTAGACTATTGGAGCACCCGTTTTCTTGGAACATACGAACACTCATTCAAGTTACCCATCACAGCTTTGATGATTCACAACAATTTTATAAATTAGGGATATTCGATGTCAGACATGTCTTAATTCCCCTGTTTGCACTTCGAGGTTAACAAGTCAGAAAGTTGCTGACAAAATCTATTTTTAAGGGTTTCAAATACGGCGTTTAGGCATAGGTAACATTTTCTCATAATCATATGAATTGTGTTTCAATACCTTTGAAAATAAAACCATTGTCGAGGGTAAAACGAAATAACATACAGTAAACATCGCCTCAGATAAAAAAAAAAAATCCCTTAAAGATGAACTGATGTTGGTGCCAAACTTCTATTGAGCTCTGCTATATGACTTCCGTGTTAATCCTTCTGGTAATCTCTTTGTGCATAATCAACATTTTCACAATTACGTCTTGGGGATGCGGGTATATTCCGACATGGAACACTGATTCAGCATGTTAATTCTATCCTGTGAGCAAACATCTACGTCCTGACAAGCGTTTGTTCAGCATGTCCAGATATGAGTGTTCACTCCCTTTTATTATTCTCCCCTTACAGAATGCACCATGTCCATCGGTTGCTAAACAATAAATCGAAGACTTAAACCTTTATCACTCCCTAAAATTGGGAAAGATATGAGCATTATGCGTTCGTTCCATTCGTCCTGTCCCCGGCCATCAAGGGGGCACCACTCTCGTTAATAATGTTCTTCTTGCCGAATGTCGTCATTTCCTGTCTGGGCGAGGGGTCTTCCTCATCCGGGGTATTCCACACGGACTCGTCCTCAAACAGATGGTGGGCCTTCAGCTGGCCCAGGCCCGGCACGCAGCGGACAATGAGTCCTGAAAAACAGAAGAAAAAAATTTAAAGATGAAAAAAAACCATATTAATTTATCGTAGTGAGGGCGTTGGTTGTCAAAGATGGATGAAGCTCATGTGCCACGAGGGAAAGGATAAGCACCACGGTCCCGGCACACGGCATATATGAGACTTTAATACCCCCCCCCCCCCCCCCCCCCGTGAACCTGAGAGACACTGAAACACATGCTTATTACATGGTCGGAATCGTACATTGTTGAATTTTTGTGACTATGGGAAAGGTTTTGTTGCTTTTAGATCTATATATCTAGGAAATCAATAGACACGCTTTCAAGAGCAGCTTCACCTTTTTGTGTTATGTTTTCTACACCTTTATTCCAAAACACTCCAAGTATTCCAATTGAAAATATATTTTGTCAAAGGTTGAGGACCAGTAAACAGGATTGGGTCGAGTTTACTTCCTCCGTCACTGTTACCATTTTTGGATACAGTCACAAAGGCAGATATTAAAACGAAATCAGCATCAGACTTCAATAGAACGAACTGAGGAAGTGAATTGTATCAGCGACGGTTGTATGTCAGATGTCAAAAGCAGAACTCCGACAGACAACAAGGTACGACCAGAACAAAACTCTGCAAGGACTTTCAATGTGCCCGAGTCTTGTCTCCCCATGAGGCGCTGGCACGTCACGCGGAAGACGAGGGTCGTTTTTTCAAATGAGTACAATATGTGACAGAAGCATTTTTCTAATGTCTTTCTTAAAACCTTATAAACTCACTTGATTATCATTTGATATAACGCCGCTTTGAACAATATTTCAGTTATATCATGGCGTGTCAGCTAATGTAAGCGGAAAGTCCAGAGGGATGCAGGTCTTCGACGGTTACCATGCCACTTTGGAGTTTCTGGACACACCTAGAAACGTAATTATGGCGAATCGGGATACAAACCCACGATCAGCTTAAAGGCACGCTAAAGGAACACAACTGTGCACAGCAAATTGCGGACGCTTTAGTCGGCTTGGCCTGGTGTGGTCCAGACTTGATTTTTTTTACAAATTAAAAAAGAAAAGAAAAAAGAATCCATCCACGGATAGCGTTATAACGTATTCAGTAACGTTGGACACTTCGATCCTAATTACAAAATGTGCAATTCAATAAACAACATAGTAAAAATATTGAAACAGTATTCATTTCCCCACCTGTGATCAGACCACCAACAATGGCGACGACGATGGTGACAGTCAGGGCAAGCACCTGATACCCTGCCTGCTCCCCAGCCGACCTGCCCAGCCCGGGGGTGACATGCACGATCCTTTTGATCTCAGCGTACTCTGTTGTGTTAGCGAGTGGCACTCGGGCGGGGAACTGTTCGTACAGACTGAAACACAGACGGATATGGATATCGAGATATTAACATGCTCGCATTCATATTATTAACATATACAGAACAAATAAAATTAGGGATCATGACGTTTTTAGGGATTTTTCTTTGTGGTGAAGACTGAGCCTACAAGTTAATAAAAATAACCACAAAAATAAATAAATCATAATCCATTAGTTTTTTGTTCAGTTTATTTAACGAACCCTTTTGTTTTGTCTGCCATACTAGAGGCATTGGTTACGTGGGAGATGAACTCCATGTACAATTACAATGTGACCTATATTCCTAATCGAGAAGAGCGTGTGTCGCCATCATCTCACCAATCCACCAAAAACTGAAACACCTGATAATACCCATGATATCAAACGTTAATTTCTTTGACAAGTGCTAACGAGAAGAAACAAAACATCTATCCCCGCATTGTTCTCCAGCCACTTCTCAGCATGTGCTTGTATTCATACCTTTCATAGTGTTTGTTTTAAGGACCGACTATTTGATATTATGGAGAGGGCCTTTGATTTTATCGAAAGAATAAATTGTCTCTGAAAACATAATTATGTTTCAGACTTTGAAAAAAAAAGAAATTGCCTGACACAAAAAAATTGTCTAGCTATCATTACATTACATTATATGACGACCAGCTCATGTACAGTGAACATCTTTAACTCGAAGGCATCGAAAATCGAAAATACCAAGACCCAAGAGGAATGCCCACATGAAACAACAATGTCGATAAAGATTCCGCCGGGACGATACACTTCCACCATCGTAAACGATATATCGAGGTACATGTTGTGGGGGTTGTGATAAAGAAACGTTTCACTGTTATCATTACTCATCAGAGAATCTAGCGATCTGTTTTGTAAGTAGAGAACACTACAGTGGCTGTCGTTTGACTTTCCGTGGTGGACCCGAGAAGATCCGGGGTAGAATAGGTCTTCAGCAACCCATTCTTGCAGTAAGAGGCGACTGTGCTTGTTGTAAGAGGTGACTAACAGGATCGGTTCGTCAGGCTCGCTGACTTGGTATCCCAATTCGTAGATCGATGCTCATGATGTCAATCACTGGATTGTCATTTCCCACAGGTGATGCCGCCTATGGGCATAAATTTCATCAATTCCACACCTTATTCCAAACACAAGGGCAGGCATGGAAAACTATTTCATGCAGCGGTAGTTCTTTCTCGAGACATATGTCCCTTATATGTCTCTCCTATAATCAATCAGATTCAACCTCTCACATTACTTGCATTTGCTTCAAACAAAATGGCGACACCCAGTCAAGACGATCTGCTTGATAACCAAGATCTATATTGTCGACGCCTAGTTGACGGTACACATGCTTGCAAATTCTCAGTCGATCGAAATCTATACGTTGAAATCCATGTTGTTTACGAACCGGATGTCTAGTGCGTTGAGCGATTTTGATTGGACTGTGCATATACACGCCAGTCCAGCCAAAATGTAACTCCAGAATTCCTTCCTGGTTCGGCAAGAGTGGAAACTGGACTTTTACAGTTAGTTAATTCCCTTGCGTTGAGAAGATATACGATCCAGAGATCAGCATCTCGAGATACCATGAACGAGGACGAGCACTTTTGGTGGTCTTTCCTTTGCAAAAGCAGGATCTACTTTAACTGCCACCTAACAAAATTAACATCCAAGACGTTGAAACATTCAACTCAAGGCTAAATCTCCCCAGAGAAGCGTATCTACAATGTCCAGCACAGCCCACACTATTAACAGGTGCTTCTGAGTGTGCCGCTATCTCATCTATAAAGTAGCATCCAACTCGTATCCTAGTGTGACTCCCAGACCCCAGATTAAGTAAAACAAGAAAAACAAGTCTTGAAAGATTTGGCAAGTCTAGATTGCCTCACCTCTAGGCATTGTTCACGACTCCATTTGGATTTGATTTTTTGATTTTGTAGATATATAGTTTTTAGATCAAAGAAATTTTTGGGGGGACTAAATGTTAGTCTACCTGTATCCATATTTATCGAAGTCGGCGACGAGGGCAGCGATGGCGCCGGCAATTCCGGCCATGATGGCGGGCATGCCGTGCAGGTTGTTCACTCCACACGTGTCATGAAGTTTCAGCTTTGACGACAGGAACGGCTGAAATAACATATATACATAGATATTTGAACTATACTTAAAAGCATGTAGTCTGTCACATGAGGTACCCGCTCATACGGTTAAACAGATGTTTCAGATCTTCTGTTTCATATAACAGGAACCCCTTGCCTTGTCTTGTTAGTTAGTTGGTTGGTTGTTTAACGCCGAACCAAGCAATATTCCAGCTATATGACGGCGGTCTGTAAATAATCGAGTCTGGACCAGACAATCCAGTGATTAATATAATGAGCATCGATCCACGCAATTGGGATTGCTGACATGCATCAACCAAGTCAGCGAGCCTGACCACCCGATCCCGTTAGTCGCCTCTTACGACACAAGCATAGTCGCCTCTAACGGCAAGCATGGGTCGCTGAAGACCTATACTACCCCGGATCTTCACGGGACGGAATCCTTTGTGAGTGCAACATGTCCATGACAGTGAACGTTTCATCGCAAGGTAGCCCTCTTCGTGAAGTGTTTAGCTCAAGAAATGGTATTAAATATCAACTGTGTATGTTGTGTTTTTTACCGGATCCTATTTTATTCCTTATGTTTGATAATTTACCATACAGAAAGTCACGAGAGTGAAAGTATCTTTTATCACAGAATGTCGTTCTTAGTCATCAGTGTTAAGTCGGTCTCATTGACGGACCATTACAAAATGCGTATGAATAGTGTTTGAGTGAAACCCCCATTTATCCTACACGTATAGTGCAAAAGGATATGAAGCCATGTTTGCCTACGTAATCACCTCGGAAAACCCTTCGCAATTTAGAACGTGATAACACAAAAAGAATAGTTTTTGAAGCAAGCAGACATTGAATCGATGAATGGAGTTGAAAATAGTTCTTGCTGGGTGACTCCATGTGCATATTTTTATCGTGATGCCATGTTTATCGGAATGGTTAACCGCACGGGATTGGTTTTATCTGTTATTTATTGTTATCTATATACTGCATTAGAGTGAGCATTGTTTTACGCCACTTTAAGCAATATTCCAGCAATATCACGGCGGTGGACACCAGAAATGGGCTTCACACATTGTACCCATGTCGGGAATCGAACCGGGTCTTCGGCGTTAACGAGCAAACGCTTTAACCACTAGGCTACCCGACCGCCCCTTACTGGATTAGAGATAAACGTTAAAAACTTTGTGTGTGTGGTTGTTCACTTACAATTCTCTATGCCTTAATATTATCGGTATATATCCACAGCAACTCGACCTAGAGTCGACAAAAATGATCATCGGATGGTTGCAATGTGTGAATCGGTTGATTTTGTGAAACATATTGAAGTCTATTCGTAAATACGCAAAGCTATAACTTCACAGACTGCTTATCTAATCATCAACACTAAAACACTGTGGACAACAATACCACATCAGTGACATCGTTCAACGCAATAATGCAACACATGCCCCGCCCATTCTGTTATCAGCCAATCAGGAGACAATAGTTCGTTAATGGGCGTGGTATATATTTTTAATATTCATTTTATGGAAACATAAAGGTTAAAAAAGAATTGCTTGGTTAGTCAACTAAATGTCACGGAATCACGCGCAATATAATTATGGTTTTATTTAACACTTTTCTTGTGTTACCGTGATGTACTTGTATCCGACTGTGGACAGCATCCCGGCGACGGACCCGATGATGAGTGCTCCGTATGGTCCGATCATCATGTCCGCACTTGTTCCCACTGCCACACCTCCTGCCAGCGTGGCGTTCTGTATGTGTACCTGGGGTGGATGTGACACCATATTGAGGTATGGAAGCCTTTCTGGGCCAATGACTGTACGTTACGTGAAATTCAGGGACAAACTCATCAACACTCAACGACAAGCATATTTCAGTGACAACGCATCGGGTATGAAGGCACAAGCATATGTTTCAGTGACAACCCCAAGCACATGTTCCAGTGACAACCCCAAGCAAATGTTTCAGTGACAACCCCAAGCACATGTTTCAGTGACAACCCCAAGCACATGTTTCAGTGACAACACCAAGCACATGTTTCAGTGACAACCCCAAGCAAATGTTTCAGTAACAATCCCAAGCACATGTTTCAGTGACAATCCCAAGCTCATGCTTCAGTGACAATCCCAAGAACGTTTTAGTGACCACCCCAAGCACATGTTTCAGTGACAATCCCAAGCACATGTTTCAGTGACAATCCCAAGCTCATGCTTCAGTGACAATCCCAAGCACGTTTCAGTGACCACCCCAAGCACATGTTTCAGTGACCACCCCAAGCACATGTTTCAGTGACAATCCCAAGCACGTGTTTCAGTGACCACCCCAAGCACATGTTTCAGTGACAATCCCAAGCACGTTTCAGTGACCACCCCAAGCACATGTTTCAATGACCACCCAAAGCACATATTTCAGTGAGAACCCCAAGCACGTTTCAGTGAGAACCCCAAGCACATGTTTCAGTGATAATCCCAAACACATATTTCAGTGACAACATGGCGCATCAGGCAGGAAAGCCTACGCACATGTTTCAATTATTTCATGTACAGGACATTCGACCATACATTATTTAAAATGAAGAGTAAAACCTGTCTGTTTGATTTTTGTAGATTTTATACATTCAAATTTTGTCCATGTTATATTCTGACTGATATGTTTGCTCTGGGTGGTCGAATCCATAATTGAAACTTATAAAAGTGTCGCCAATATGTTCCTTGACAGACAGGTTCGTACCATGTCCAGCTTGCCCTTCTCGTCCACCAGTACGGAGATGGCGAATGTGACGACGCAGCAGGAGGCGAGGGCGAAGTACGTGTTGAGGACGGCGCGGTGCTGGTCGTCGCCCGGGGCGAGAGCGCTGTTGAAACTCGGCCAGAACAACCACAAGAAGACGGTACCTAGTAACAGAGGAGACGTCTTAACAAAGAACGTGCATACCATTGTGGTTTACTATACTTGTATGAAGTAGGTTAATCGTTTTATTCTGATTCTTACAACTGAACGTGTTTAAAGAAAACAGACAACCCGTTTTCTAGCGCTGGCCCACGCTGGCTCAAGTTAACGTGATACCCCTCTCAGACACGGTATACTGGCTCCAAGCCGACCAGTCCTTGTTTTAGCCCCTTTAGGCCGAGCGAGGGCATGAAAACAATAAGTTTCATTTGTAAGGTCTACTGGTATGACGCGGTCGGGGATCGAACCACCTACTTTCCTCTCTCCGGACATTCACTTCATCTCTAGACCACGAAATCAGTCTTATCTAGTACGTGTGAAAGGTATCCGAAATGTACGACTATGGGCCTCATGTGCTGAGAATGCCAGGTCATTTTCTTCTGTGACCGTTTGCAAGGCGAATTACAGCCCTGCATTAATATATCCCTATAAACTACCTTCTATGCTCTTGGGGGAGGGCGCGGCGGGAGAAGCTTAGTGGTTAAAGCGTTCGCTCGCCACGCTAAAGGCCCGAGTTCGATTCCCAATGTGTGAAGCCAAGCTCTGGAATATTGCTAAAAACGGAGAAAAAACATACTCACTCACTCTGTGACCTTGGGGTCGAATCCCAGATTCGCCCTGATTAATATTCCTAGTTTTCTTTAGCTGGTTTATTATATTCCATTTATGCCACGACATTGTGTCTCAGATATATGTGGGAGGGAAGCCGAAGGTGACTTACGTCACGGACGTATATCACTAACGTGGCAAGTGACTGAGTAAGTGAGTATGGTTTTACGCCGCTTTTAGCAATTTTCCAGCAATATCACGGCAGGGGACATCAGAAATGGGCTTCACACATTGTACCCATGTCGGGAACCGAACCCGGGTCTTCGGCGTGACAAGCGAACGCTTTAACCACTCGGCTACTCGACCGCCCCCTAACGTGGCAAGAGTCATATCCGGCGCAAAGCTAAAATGCTAACTCACGACCAGGGGATTCTAGCACATCAAAGGGGCGCAACTCTGGACAGCGAATTGCGGCGCCCTAGGCGAGTGAGCAACCAGAGTCATCTCAGGACGACAGAGGCGCATACCGATACTGAAGCCAACAGGTCAGAGTGGGTTAGTTTGATTAAATGCCGCTTTGAACTGTATTCAAGTTATATCACAGCATGGCAGCGTAATGTGGGTGGATGCATGTTTTAAACATTGATCATGCACGTTCGTACTCTTCACGAGCAATGGCATGGAGCTGACAAACCAAGAAATATAATCAGTGCGAATCTCCGATGATCACAACGATCACAGGTTCCTGCCACACCTAAGGGACATAACTCTCCCCACCAAATTTCAGCGCCTTTGACGGCTGATCCATCAGAGTCCTCAAGAACGCGATGATCCTTGCACAGCTAAGCGCCGAAACTCTAGACATCGGACAGCGTCGCCTCAGACGACTGAGCCATCCGTTCCTTCTCACGACGAGAGAGATTTCTTCCACTACAGAAGCCTACCAATCAGCGGTAAGGTAGAAAACCTACACCCATCCTTATAGATCACCTACCAATCATGGAGAAGAGGTCGGAATGGTACACCGATCCCTCTTTTGTTGACCTCTCGATGTCTTCAGAGTACAAGACTCTGGCAATGGTCAGGCCGAAGTAAGCTCCGAAGGCGTGGACAAACATGGACCCGCCCACATCGACCACCTGGAACAATTAAAGAGGGTTCGTTATAACACAGACGGATTATTGAGCTCGTACAAGGTCTTCATGGCATACGGGGCGGTCGGGTAGCCTAGTGGTTAAAGCGTTCGCTCGTCACGCCGAAAACCCGGGTTCGATTCCCGACATGGGTACAATGTGTGAAGCCCATTTCTGGTGTCCCCCGCCGTGATATTGCTGGAATATTGCTAAAAGCGGCGTAAAACCATACTCACTCACTCACTCACTCTTCATGGCATACACACCCTCGAATATCCACAATGGATACAGCTTAAATATTCTCTGCGGCACCAGACTGCATTCAATCGACCCTTTATTCAAAGATCGCATCACATCACATTTCCGAGACGCGGTAACAATGACAATAACAGATATAACGTCAATGACTTACTCCTCAAACCTTTGGCCATAGTGGTATATGATATAGTATGCTTTGCAAGGTTCGCTCAGCTATTAGTCGGAATTGCACAAGATGGAAAGTGCAAACAGTCGCGTCACATTAATGAACAAACTGTTGAAATTAGTTCTCCATCGTATGTATTTAAAAGTTCTCTGGATTGTTCATGACAGATAATAACTCAGCCCTCCGACCCTCCGAGAATATGTTGTTGTGAAAATAGTCAAAATACATTGGCGGTCGGTTGGCGGGGAAATAAATTTTGAAAGAAGACATGTCAGATTTCTTGTTCCGCGAAGATATTTTGCGTTATTGATCATGAAGCTGTTCTTGATATTTCATTTTGACGTATTGCTTGCGAGCTTAATACGTAGGTGAGGTGAGGTTGAATGGAGTTTACTTCGGGTCCAAGATTATTGCACTTGTATAGTTACGTGCATGCACGTGTGTGCGTGCGTGCGTGTGTGCGTGCGTGCGTGCGTGCGTGCGTGGCTGCTTTTATTAGTCCGGTTAAATGCCCACTAAGATACCATGCTACAGTTTCATATGAATACCCCACTCACACACAGTATTCTGACTCCAAGCCGATTAGACCCTGTTTTAGCCCCTTAATGCCGAGCGTCAGGCAGGGTAACAAGAAGTATATTATAACATATTTTAACGTCTTTTGGTATGACGCGGCCGTGGATTGAACCCCTGACCTTCCTCTCTCCAGACGGACCCTCTACTCCTTAACCACGCAAGCGGTCTGCTAAATACGTTGTCTTGCAGTCGTCGGTATAACTAAATAGTACACGTTTCATTATGTTAATTTTTCCTTTGTTAGGGTCTGCGAATTTAAGATTTAAAGAAAACCCATCTGGTCCACCTCACCCGAAACATCGTGACGCCAACCCACTCGTTGGCCGAGAAGAAGACGATCTCTATGATGGCTATCAGCACCAGCTGCAGCGGACTCGCCTTCCCCAACACGGCACCGAAGGAGATGAGGACGGCGGCGGCTGCGAAGTCGGCAGTCAACATGCTGAAATAGTGTCATCATGAGGTAAGAAGAAGAAGCTGAAGAAGCTGAAGAAGAAGAAGAAGAAGAAGAAGAAGTACTCTAGCTTGATAACGGTGTAAGAATCTACACCGAAACGTCTCCATATGCAATAAATAAGAAGTTGTTATCCATAAAGTTGTACGTTGTCCTACTCACCAACAGTTATAATAAGGAAGAGAATTTCGGAGTATATATTTACTCCTTCATGATCAGTAGGTGAATAAGTGCTATTGAAGCAGAGAACATATACATGTACATGTAAGAACAGAAGAAGTAGTAAACTCAGGTGGAAACTTAACAAGGGAAGCCAACAGTTACTAAGCGTTGATAGGTTTAGCAATGGATTATATGCTCTCTGCTCCCCCCACTCACTCACCCACACATCCTTACACCCACCCACTCACTCACCCACACATCCTAACACCCACCCACTCACTCACCCACACATCCTAACACCCACCCACACATCCTAACACCCACCCACTCACACATCCTAACACCCACCCACACATCCTAACACCAACCCACTCAATCACCCACACATCCTAACACCCACCCACACATCCTAACACCCACCCACTCACTCACCCACACATCCTAACACCCACCCACCCACTCACTCACCCACACATCCTAACACCCACCCACTCACTCACCCACACATCCTAACACCCACCCACTCAATCACTCACTCACCCACACATCCTAACACCTACCCACTCACTCACTCTCCCACACATCCTAACACCCACCAACCCACCCACTCACTCACTAACATTTATTCATTGACATTTAATATCAGGTAACTGATCCTCACAGATTCTTATGGCGTTGAGAAATACTTACTCACTTACTCCCTCACTCATGGATTCTTAGTTTGTAAATGCGTGATTATAACATTTTTTTACCAGTCCCGTGAATATTCCGGTATGAATTGGTCTTTAGCAACCAAAGCTTGTCGTAACAGGCGACTAACGGGATCGGGTGGTCAGGCTCGCTGACTTGGTTGATGCATGCCATCGGTCCCAAAAGCTGTTGTTAATCGGTGCATTGTCTGGTCCATACCACCAGCGCGCGATGCAAGGACATAAAAAAAGCGTTCGTAAAATATATGCTACTTCATTGAGGGACTGTTAAAATTATAAATGCTAGTCTGCGCAACCTGAGACATTTGGAAATTCACTTTTTCAAGTGAGTAATGTGGTTTTACGCCGCTTTTAGCAATAGTCCAGCTATAGAACGGCGGGGACACCAGAAATTGGATTCACACATTGTACCCCTGTGGGGAATCGGTGTGTCGAGCGAAGGCTTTAACCACTTGGCTACCCCACCGCACCTGTGTTTTAGTCCAGAGGACTAGTGGAAACTCTCTCTTTTTTCTAGTCCTGTAGTTTGTAGCTAGCCCTGGTCAAACGAGACAAGAATGTTTTTAAATTACATTTTCTGTCAGCTTGATTCAGTTTCAATTTGCAGCAAAACGGATGCATTGAGAACTGTTTCAGAGTGATAGCCCACAGATGACCCGTGAAGATTCCGGATAGAATAGGTCTTCAGCAACGAATGCTTGTCGTAAAAGGCGGCTGTGCTTGTCGTAAGAGGCGACTAACGGAATCGGGTGGTCAGGCTCTCTGACTTGGTTGAAGCCTGTCATTGATCCCAATTGCGTAGATCGATGCTCATGATATCCATCACTGGATTGTTTGGTCCAGACTCGATTATTTACAGACCGCCGTCATATAGCTAGAATATTGCTGAGTGCGGCGTTAAACAACAAACCAACAAACGCAAGGTGGTCTGTATATGAATGATAACTACCCCTTTGAGATCCAGGGTACATCGTCCCCTGCACTCTGCTACCTAAGGTTGGAAGTGGATCGGGGGGTCGTGCTCTATGACTGCATGTCATCTTATCCTTCTCACTCTCTCACTCACTCACTCACTGTTCAGAGTGGGTTTAAGCCGTTAATTATCACTCACTCACTCATGGCGTGAAACAAGAACACAACAGATTACACTCACGACTCGATGGAGACCTCGATCTTGCCGCCGTGGCTGTGGAAGTACCCCCCACAGAGAGTCGCCCACTGGATGACGATGGCGGCGAGGAGGAAGTTGATGCCCACGGCGCCGTAGCCGTACCGCTTCAGGAACGTCATCAGGAAGCCGAAACCGATGAAGATCATGACGTGCACATCCTGGAACACTGGGGACACAGAGGGTGTACATGTCAACGGAGGACGGGATACTCAAGGTTATAGGTGAAAACGTCGCGTTCAATTATTGCATTTTGCGACGTGTACACCTGTGTGGCTGTTTATAGAATCCGAGTTTACAGTGCTAGCTCACTGAGATACCCATGAACACCCCACTCAGACACAGTATACTGACTCCGAGCAGACCAATCTTTGTTTTAGACCCTTAATGCCGAGCGTTAGGCAGGGTAACAACAAGAACCATCTTTCAACGTCCTTCGCTCCCTGGGCGGACGCCCTACCACTAGACCACGTTGGCGGTCAGCCAGTCAGACGCCCACCATCATGTGTAAAATATCTAATAATTGAAACTTAGTACTTAAAAATCTCAAGTTTGTCAAAATTACATTTTTTCCCAATTTGCATGCGACTGGTATCTTGATCTCCCAATTCACTCACTCAATCAGATGCTTACTAACTCAATCAATCAATCGTAAACTCATTCAGACCGTCTCCATGGTCTTGTGGTAGAGTGTTCGCCCGGATAGCGGAAGGTCCGGAGTTCGATCCCCTGCCGCGTCTTAACAATAAGACGTTCAAATATGGTACTTGTTGTTACACTGCCTGGCGCTCGGCATTAAGGGGATAACTCAAGGACTGGACTGTGTCTGAGTGGAGTATTTATGTTAAACTGCGGTATATCTCAGTGGGCAAACAATGTAATATCGGCATTAGCCCGGACGAGTACAGACAGCCACACACAGCCACACACAGCCACACACACACACACACACACACACACACACGTGCATGCATCTTTATTAGTTCAATAAATTTGAACCGACGTTAAACCCCATTTCACCTCACATCACCTATCGCATTCACTCACTCACTGATTGGCTGAAACCAGACTCGCCACTTACGCTGAGATCTCGCGTAACAAATGTAACATACTATCTAACGACGGTGTCGCTTACCCTCGTCACACTCACGTTACACAGACAATGTATGTCATACATGTATCCAGTTTACAACTTGATTGGCCCGATTCATTGTCAACACCAAGGTCAGATGTACGCTCTGACACTGCCCCGGATGTCACCAGAGTTTCCTGCATGAGGCCAAGTGACAACACGCTTTGTTTCACATCACTTTTCACAATGACCAGTTTCAATTTCATTTCGGTTTTCGCGCATCCCATATTTTGACTTGGAGGTGACAGTTCGATCAGGCCTTGCTGTGTAGGTGTCTTTACATCTTCACACACAACGATGTGTCGTGTCGATTGTAATGAAATTGTCTGTCGGTTTGTTGTTTTACGCCGCACTCAGCAATATTCCAGCTATATGACGGCGGTATGCACATAATCGAGTCCCGACCAGACAACCCAGTGATTGACATCATAAGCATCGATCCACGCAATTGAGATACGATGACATGCATCAGCCAAGTCAGCGAGCCTGACCAACCGATGCCGTTAGTCGCCTCTTACGACAAGCATAGTCGCAAACGGCAAGCATGGGCTGCTGAAGACCTATTCTAACCCGGATCTTCAAGGGTTGTAATGACATTGATTGGATAATAGGCCATGAAGGGTATTGCATGATATAGATAGAAGGTCGGATTACATAAAAGTGCCACTTCGCGAGGAATAGAGAATACAAGTGAGGAACCAAAACGGAAGTGCATGCCAAAATTGAAAAGCAAGTTGAGGGCCGGCTGATTTTTATGCGCCCCCTCCTCCCCCAATAAAATATTTTTAAAATGATGGATGAGAAACTTTATTTTATTTTTTCTTATTTTAACCACAATATGACATCTAAAACAAGTACTTGATGTGCGCGACCCGCAAGGCCCGAGGCAAGATGTCACGTCAGTAAGGCAAGCTGTCTGGTATCGCCTGACAAGTCCATGTGAAATAAGAAGGCTTTTACGGCTAATATATGTAAGAATGTCAAACAAAACTTCTAAGTGTTGTTTGTACTGAAAGACCATTTGCCTTGACCGACAAATATCCTTTGCAGTATGTGGCTGGTGTTTTGAATATCCGTTTCGTCTTTAACGAGAACTGTCACTGAAGACTATTTATATTTAGATGTTTACGATATCCAAGCGTTCATGCTTTGGGAGCTTCTGCTGATAGAGTGCTTGGTTTTGCGCCGCTTTTGTGTGTTGGTACCTTTACAACACTCCAGCTCTATGACGGCGGCCTGTGGATATCGAGTCTCGACCCGACAAACCAGTGGTTGATATTATGAGCATCGTCGCGTGTCGTCCGATGCAGCGAAATCAACAAAGCCACCGAGCCTGATCACACGATCCACTTTAGATGCCACTTCTACTATCAGAAGTGTACCAGGTCCCAAGTAGGAATATTTTTAATTGTTTTCCAATGATATTTTCTTTTTCCATTATTCACAAAAATAGAACGATTCGTGTTTTATCAGTTTACAACGTCCGCCAATTTTATTTCAGATATGTTATATTGAGTCGAAATTATTTTTTTCTAGTTTCCGACCCCCGTGTAAAATATGTAACGGCTATAATATTTCAGCATATGAAACAAATAATTATTGTTTTTGAAAAAATAAATAAATTATTCCAGCATTCTCTCGGAACGAATTATATTTTTCAAAAACGACTCTCAGCGTCTACCCCCGATCCTCCTCCTCCAAAATATCATAATCGTCGGACCCTTCGACGATAGATATCCTTGTTAACAACACGTAGCTCTCTATACCAAGTTTAATGACCACAGACCGAGTTGGTAAGAATCCAGTGATCGATATTGTGAGCAACGATCCACCTTGTCGGGGTACGATGAGACGCAATCGGGCAAGCCCGATCGGCTCAGGTTCCTATTCCTTCCAGGATTTGCTACGGACGCCCTTACTTCAGCACCAGTGAACAGAAACGTTTAGGGTTTATTATACTTCAATGATAAACAGTTTAAATTGATGCATGTACCGAACACCTGTATCCTAGTTTCGATTAAGTTTCAAATACCAGAGTGTGGCCTCCGGAAGCTACAGGAGTCGTGGTGTCTGTGTCATTGTGTTGCACAAACAACATGTGTTTAACCTCAGCGACATGTGTGAGGATATATTTCGCTTCACTTTTTATTGCCCATCAGGATAAAAAGCACTACTATTATGTCGATGTGTTTCAATTATTCAAAACAATAATGTACGTTGGCCTTGTTTGACATGGATATGGTGTTACTGAGTTCGGTCAATGCGTATAATCATTACGTAATAATTAGCGGATGCAAACACATCCCATCACTGCGGTACATACTGAGGTTACCGTATATTCTGTGGCATAGCATCATGTCATTGTGGTATATAATGAAGAATATTCTGTTATACCTCATATAACTGCAGTACATACTGAAGTATATTCTGTGGTATAGCATCATGTCATTGCGGTATATACTGACATATATTCTCTGGTATACCTTATATCACTGCGGTACATACTGAAATATATTCTGTGGTATAACATCATGTCATTGCGGTATATACTGAAGAATATTCTCTGGTATACCTCATATCACTGCGGTACATATTGCAGTTTATTCTGTTGTATAGCATCATGTCATCGCGGTATATACTGAAGTATATTCTGTGGTATAGCATCATGTCATTGCGGTATATACTGATCTATATTCTCTGGTATACCTCATATCACTGCGGTACATAATGAAATATATTCTGTGGTATAGCATCATGTCATTGCGGTATATACTGAAGAATATTCTCTGGTATACCTCATATAACTGCGGTACATACTGAAGTATGTTCTGTGTTATAGCATCATATCATTGCGGTATATACTGATCTATAATCTCTGGTATACTTCATATCACTGCGGTACATACTGAAGTATATTCTGTGTTATAGCATCATGACATTGCGGTATATACTGAAGAATAAACTCTGGTTTACCTCATATCACTGCGGTACATACATAAGTATATTCTGTGGTATAGCATCATGTCATTGCGGTATATACTGAAGAATATTCTCTGATATACCTCATATCACTGTGGTACATACTGAAGTAAATTCTGTGGTAAAGTATCAAATCACTGCGGTACATACTGAAGTATATTCTGTGGCATAACACCGCGTCATCGCGGTACTTCTTGAATTATATTCTGTTGAATAGCATCTTCAGGCATCACATCACTGCTGTACGTATTGAAGTACAGTCGAACACCGTTGTGTCGAACTCGTGGGGACCTGGAACAAAGTTCGGGGGAATCTTATGATTAATTTGGATGCTTGGGACTCTCAAATGAGTTTGAGACAACTGGGAATTCGACACATCCAAGTTCGACACAACGAGGTTCGACTGTATATAATCTGGTATAACATCCTATCGCTGTTGCACATATTGAAGTACATTTGGTGGTATAGCATCATGTCACTGCAATATATATTTATATTACCATTACGAAACATAATGGGTCATATTTCCTGGGCCCACTTGCACAATGCGATCTTAGCGCTCCGACTATTGTAAGCCTATGTAAAAGTATGGGAGTTACGATCATCTTAGCGCTTAGTTCGCTTTGTGCAGGTGGTCCCTGGTATAGTATTGCCCCATGACGGCACATTTTGAGGCATGTTTTCAGGTAATGCTTCGTGACATTAAGTACAAATATAATGCCATTAACTGGATAACAAATATAGTATCGGGATATTATGGATCATGTTGAGTCCTGGTATAGTCTCGCTCCCGTACAGAACATTTTGAGTCATATACGCTGATGAAGCTTGTCGTTACGTAACAAACTGAGCCATATTCTCCGGTTATGCCTTAAATTGCTGCTTTTGAGCCATATTCTCTGGTATAATATAGTGACATTAGGTACGAATCTAATGACATTAACTGGGATAACATCACGACACGTAGGCATATTTATAGTTTGGTACGCTGGTTTTGAAGCACATAATGCAGTATTGTCGATCAAGGTCAAACACAAGATCAAGGTCAAGGTCATCCA